CTATCTACTGACATTGAATCGCATCAAATACAGGGTGGATCAAGATACAGAATTCTGATCACCTTGTATTTGTTCCAATTAAATGTCAGTAGAAGGTTGATTCGAGTAGATGCATGCGGATCTCTCGGAAAAGGTAAGCGCTATAGAGTGAGGGTTGAATGGATACAAATTTGCGCAATTTTATGACTAACAAATTGCCGTTTCGAAATTTGAGAAATTCCGAATATTTCCGAAGATCTTTGGAAAAAACCGAATATTCGCAATTTCATTTTTATTTTTTTCCTGACTATAAATAAATAATGTTTATAAAATAAATCAGAGGGTGCAGTTTGAGATGGTAGTTGAGGGTAATGTTTTGAGGGTTATGTAAAGGAACGCACGATGTTCTTTGAACATTATAAAGATTTCCTTTCGTGCGCTCCAAGCGATAAAAAAAAATACTTTTCATTCTTCTTTGAGGAAATTTCACGTATGGTACTGACATAGAATAAGTTAACGAATTTATGTATCGTGACCATGATCGAGAATTGAGTTCTCTGATCTAGGCTATCATCAGAAATTAGTGAATCAGTGTCGCTATATATGACTGCTATGAGATATTTGTATTCATAGCATCCATGAGTACAATATAATATTCCCCATTGTCAAATTCAAATGGAGATTATATTGTCCCCGAGATGCTGTTGTAGAATCTGCTGGAAAATTGAGAATTTGCAGACTTATGAAATCGAGTTGCCGTGAGCTAATCAACTCAAAGACTTGTATAACTTCGTAATAAGATGGAATCAGGAAACTCTGTTCGCGGTATATGTTGGAGAATATTTGGAAACATTTCGAGAAGTAGAAAGTATCTGAGAATCTAATCACGTATAGCCTCAAGAATTGCATACATATTGTACACGTCAAGGCAGCATCTGTTTTTCCAAGTTGATGGAAAATTCATCCACTCTGGTTCTCAATATACGGAGTGTTGTCATAGTTCTCGAGTTACATATTACGAATGAAAATATATATTCATACCATGCGTAACAGTTTTGGACCAGAATGTTTAACTCAGATTGAATAATTTTCAGAATTATTTTTCTCAATTGTATTGATATCATCACGAATGAGAAGAATTCATTCAAGAAATTTTCCTTCCTGTTGATGAACTGGTTACCTGCACTTTTTTATTAACTACTAGCTGACCCGCCAACGTTGTTTTTTGCCAAAAACATTCTTTCTAGAGAGTATTTTTTCATTCGAATATTTATCAACACATTTTTAATATTTTATTGTCTACTTTTTTCCAGTTTGACTATCCATAAAAGCGTGTTTCATCAGTTTTTTTAACTACTATTTATTATAACAGCTGATCAAGAGCATTTAAACATTACACGTTATTACAGTTTTTAATCTATGCTGATCATCTGATATTAATGTCCAGATTCAAAATATCATTGATCTACAACACAAACAGTAATGACTGCAGATGAAGAACCATTGAAATGAACACATGTTTTCCTATTCAGCCACTAATTATTGAACCACATGAGAACACTCTCAGTCACTCATCTCAATAGTTTCAAAAGCCAGTGCAGTACAAGCATAGATTAAACAAATGTTACAATCAGAGAAATTCTTCCGTCCATGAGATATACTGAATTGCTGTTTCACATCTGTTTTTTTTCCTGAAATCAGAGAGATTGTCTATCTAAATATTGTTCTTTTCAATGTATTCTACTAGTTGATATCAAAAATATTTTTCATTTAGTCTGAAGTAGGTATGAGATTTCAAACATCATCAGCTTTTTTATTTTGGATGAATATTTCTGTCTGAAATTCTGGTGCCGAATAGATAATTGAACGATGTCATTCGACCAAGAATTTAAATTTCATCATTGATTATGCATCAAGTCAGTCAGTCAGAAAATATCTGATTCCATGATTAAAACAGCAGTGTCAGCAGTCCACTACTACAAGGATTTGCACTCTAGCTGTTGATTTCTACCATTTAAATTTCACTATAATTCTATAGAGGTATATCCGACTGATTATATAATAATATTCCAGTATAGGAATGATATTTTGTTGATGCTCAAACTGATATCGATTATACCGTTAGCTTTCGGCACTTGGAATTCCATTAAAGATTATAATAATATTAATATACTATGCGTGCTGAGTATTCTCAATAAATTCAATTGAGTAACAAATTATTTATTTGGCGGAAAAGCCTTTTTCCTAACAACACAGGTACAAGGACATGATCGGGACATCCAGGGGATGTCCCGCAGTGGTTGTCCAGTGGACATCCAGCCCGGTACATCCCTAGGTTATCCCATTCGTGTCCTGGAATATCTGATATTGAGTCGATGTTTTTCGAAAATGTTTTTCTTCCGGAAATTGATGGTAATGAAAATAAAGAATATAGTCTCAAAACTTCTCAAAAAATGACCATTTTTTGCAAAACAGAAATCGTGAATGCATAATGCCCCTCGTTTTTGAAGACCCAAGAATAATGATAATTATACCCGAATCCTAACAAAGTTTTATTCATTCAGGTTTCTATAGTTTAGTCCTGTTTATAAATCTGTTCAATACATGAATCTACAGAAGGCTAAAGGTCCCGGGTTCTATCCCTACTCGACCTACATTTTTTTTCTTTTGTCGAAGGGATGTCACTGGGATATTCTTTGTACTCGGTACATCCCAGGGACGTACCAGAAGGGACATCCCTTGGATGTCCTTTTTTTCTGAAAGCGGATGTCCCTGGAACAAAGGATATCCCTGGGATGCCCTAGTTTGAAATTAGGGACATACCTAGGATGTACTCGTGTTGTTAGAGTTAAGAGAGCTTACAATATATAATTAACACTTATCATCGTCATCGTATATATATAGATATTGATGAAAATTCATGGTTACATGTAGCTATAGAGGGTGACAAACAAACCTCTGCAAAATATTGAAAATTTGTCCATGCGCCCAATTTGCTAAACAATTTCTGTTTTTTTTTTTAATTATATTTTCATGATGCTCAATCATATGCCTCGAAATGGTTTTGCAATTTGTCCTTTACCTCTTTCGGTTTTCCAAGAAAACGTTTTTTTTTTAAATGAGAGATTCCGTACTTCTGACATGAAATATTTGTTTGTAGCTCTATTTTCAGATATGTGATTCTGAATCAATTATACCTATAATTCTATATCAAATCCTATATCGTTTTTAGGTATACAGAATGTTTGGGAATGATAATGAATTGATAATGTTACTGAAAGACAAAGAACTAGACATTGATCAACTTGTATAATATTCGAGATTGAATAACGGGAAACGAGAATCCACAAAGAACGAGATGATGAATAAACAGGGTGATACAGCAAGATCGGCGAAATCCATATCCAAAGAAACTTGGTTAATTCATAAATTTATGTTATCCATCAACGATAACTTCTAACTCATCATAAGAATGTTGCTCAGTGTAGTATATACAAAGTGAATATACCGGGTATAACAACCAATTTTTGGACAGGCCATGGTTTTTGGAGTTCGAAGGTATGAGATTCAAATTTGACAGGTGTGTAGGATTCGAGAATGGAAAATGTTGCAATAATAGTATTTGAAACTCTCCCATCACATCCGGTGTCATCGGAAACGACCTCAACTTCTGACTTTCAAATGGGACACCCTGTATTTTATTCCATAACCGGTTAGGAAATTTCATAACGAATTCAACGATACTGGGTTTGATAGGTTTATTTCAAACAATTATACGAAGATATTTGCGTTCGTTTTCATATGCTCAATGGGTGTGACGTTGCACTATCGCAACTTCTTTCTCCTACACACTCATTGAGCATATGGCAAATTTCAACGCAAAAATCTTCGTATTATTTTGAAATATCCCTATCAAACCCTATCAACCCCTATCAAATGGTCATAACCAACAGACTGTACGAGATAGGTATAGGAAACTCACACACAGTTAAATAATAAAATATCTCAACTTTCTGAAGAGGGGTTCTTCATTGAAAAATCTGAGTTCCTGCCATTTTCATGAGTCCTCGGAAAGAAGTTACTTTTGAACCTCCCTGTACGCTGAAACTGATGAGGTCTGGTTTATAAGTAGAATACTCAGCGGTCTAATTCCTATGACCCAAAAGAACAATGTTTCGTGAATTGCCACTATGAAAAAGTCGTTATTTTTCGTGGGTTAGTTTGTTTTTACACAAAATTTTACAAAATAATGTTTCTCTAGATAATTGTTACAGACAGGTATAGAAAATCATCAGGAGAGATATGAGGAATCTCATAAGGATTCCAAAAATGACATAATATAAAGGGTTTGTCTATTTGAAATAACACAGTAGCTAGGTACTACTTTCTGATAAAAGCGGCAATATTGGAAATATTCAGGACGGATAGAGCATGCTGATTATCCACGCTTACAAATTTTGAGAATGATCTATCGTTCGGATCTGCAGAAACACCTTGTATATGAATTAAAAAGCTGTGAATTATATCGTCAAATTGGAATATAAATACCTATATCTCTAAAGAAATTTGATATTGAACTTTGAATCCGGTGCATTTTTTTTTAGAGTTAATGACGCATCTCTATTGATAAAAATATATTAGACGAAGGGTGCATATGCTTGATTATCCACGTCCACAAATTTTGAAATTATATGAAGTTCGGTTCTCCAGATACTTCTAATTTTCCATCAATCGTGAAACACCGTGTATAAATACAAAGTTCATTTGACTTTTATAAAGTTACGCAGATAATAGAATACAAATATCATAAATATTGAACAACCATTCACATTTCACCATTAATATTATAATACAATATTAACTTGATGATGATGATTTTCAAATAATGGAAGCTAGTCTCAAGTTAGTCATATTCTAGTTGAGATGGTCATAGCTAGTCTTGAATGAAAACTAATGTTGATTAACATGATTAGATGATATCAAAGCTGATAGGAATATACTCACACAATGAATTCATTTTTAGTTAAAATTTAATTAAAATATTCAAGTGCATCAAAATTTATAAAAATCTAGAAATGAGAATATAACAAAAGTTACAGAATAAAATCAGGGTAAAAATATAAACAACACAAATCATAATAACAAAAAACACTACTTGATTTTGCCAACGGCCTTGTTCTTGTGATAGGCCTTTCTGAACATATAATTCTCGTCTCTCATCAGCGTAGTTTGAGCATGTATTTTAGATTCAGCAACCCTTCGTTTCTGGTCATGTATGGACGACATGTTTCTCCCTAAATAGAGACGGACAATATTTTCCAAGGTTGGGTAGTACATTTTGATAGCTACATTGATGACAGCAGCTGCTAGAATCGATACTGGAATGCTAGAAAAGTCTGGAAGAAGTGTCATGCAGTCTAGAAAGTAGTGTGCTGTGAATCTGGCGAGCTGAAAGATAAGAATTGCAATATTACCGATTACAAATAATGCATTCCTGTCTACAAATTGTCAATCATTTTTTTCACACCAATTTTCAAAACCCTATCTCGAATAATTCAAAAGCTACAGTCCTGGCCGTTTTTTTGTACACTTCTCTGTATGTATGTATGTAAAATAAATTAGTGGTGCTCGCGAGAGTCTCGTTTTCGAGAGTCTCGCATGGTCTCGTCTCGTTTTCGAGACAAGACTCGAGACGAGACTCAGACAAGACGAGACGAGACTTTTATTGGTCTCGTCTCGAGTCTCGTGCAAGACGTCTCGTGCGAGAGTCTCGCAGGTGAATATTTCTGCGTGCCGACTGCAGACTTGAGAATTTCATTCATAATACAACATATTTTGAAAGAATACACAAAACATTTCATTCATAAAAAGTTAAAAAACACAATCCATGATCTCTTATGGCGGCGGAAAATAAAGGCAATTCTGCAATAATGACAGATTGAATGACTACCTGAAAATCTATAAATAAGTCATTCTTTGCTAAATAGTCTAAGATGAAGAATAACTTTGTTTTGACGGGAGTATGGATGCAGGAGCTTCAAAAATATTATTATGTGCCTCTGTGTAATAAAAACACAGATATATTGCTATGGTGGAAAATTCATGCTTCTGAATCTCCCATTCTAAGTTTGATGAAACGAGATCTCTTAAGCATTCCGGCTACTTCAGTTTTCTAGTTCAGATGTATGATGTAAGTATGTAACCTTGATTATATAACTAGTGTGAATACTCAATGGTATGTACCTAAAAGGTACTTACTCTTCAATAAATGATGTTATTTTTGTTGTAATTTTGTCTTCCTACTTCTACATAATACCTAGAAAGACGGTGAAGGTAAATATCCCGTACTAGACTGGAACAAGATTATGCATGACGAAATTGCGATACATCAGCGAGACTCTCATAGGAGACGCGAGACAAGACGAGACTGGAGGCTGCGAGACGAGACTCGAGACAAGACTTCATATTTCATCGGCGAGACGAGACTTTATGAAATTTCACTTAGTTCGTCCCGCAAAATCTCATTGTCACAAAAAATTACGCGTTTGCTAAATATAGTTTTGTAATTTTGACACGTCTCAGTTTACTTGACAAGTTGCGTAAAGTCAAATATTTCGACACCTGATTTGTGTGTGACCGTATTATTGTTTGACGGATACTTCTCAGAGTGATAGGCGAAGTCAACTTGCCTAAAAATGTTTCACATTATCATTAGAATTCATGTAGAACTGGTTATTATTCATGTTGAAGATACATTTTTCGCCAATATTATAAAAATGGTATTCGAATTGATTTCCAAAATTAGTTCTGACTTGGGCCACGTTCTGCGTAATATGGTCTATTGTTACTTGAAAGTGGCAATTCCAAATGTCTTGAAAAAATTTATCTGTTGGTACTTATACCTCTCTGCGTAGAATAGTTAGCATTAATTATTCCATTGATGTTCTTAAGTTTTGGATGAAGTCAAGGTACTTACTTCAAGATTTTCTAATCCAAGGATACTCAAAAACGTATCCACGCAAGACGCAGGCTCAATGTAATGTAGTTGGAAATTCAAAATTCTCAATACGTTTCGCTCCATTCTCAAGAGTTGTCGGACCACATAAGCGTTGTTAGCATACCATAACAAGTCTGAAGCCTTCGGAAAACTAGTTCAATTACCTATTATACAGTGTGGAGCCTTTAACTGAAATAAATTCGTTAGCAGGGACACAGATTAACAAACCATGAGACACTCCGCCCCTTTTGTTTGATTATACCGACACATGTTTCGTGACCTCATCCCTTTAAACTTTGCGCGTCACGGTTGCCGGTTCTCAAAATGCCAGGTTGAAGTCACAGAACTATTCGTGGTGCAACGTTGCCATATCCACGAATATCTTGATATCAGGGATTTACTTCATTTGGAATTCCTAAAGCTCACACTGAATTGATATCATAAAAAGGTTCAAATGTGTGCATTGATTGACTCAGACAGATTTAATATCACCTGACTTAGATCTACACGAAATAATTGATATTAGGAATTGAAAAATCGTTACTTCAGAATGAAATTGTTGTGGAGAATGAATATTTATTTTGAACTAATATAATACCTATGCAGATAGTTCCTTGTAATTAGTTCATAAATATTTTTCTACAATATGAATCAATTCATTGGAAAAATTCAACATCATAAGGTTTGTTAATCTGTGGCAGGGATGTGGATATTCTTCCTGATGTGGATATTCTTCCTGAAATTTCCCGACATCTACCTACCTTTTGCAAGCAATATCAAGAATATATGCCTATAGGGGTAGCTGAAACCACCATCAACATGATTTTTTCAAATGTTACCCTATGGCTTGTGACCCCTCATTGAGAAGCTATTGGAAAGGAAAATCCAGCGTACTTGTCAAATATTTGTTTTTCATACGTTTAAAGGTTGCATAAAATCGAAATGTTATTTCAAAATTCAATTCTTTTTCGAAGTATCAATTGCTCAAAATGTGTGTTGAACAATTGATGGCAATTTTTTGCCACAACTGCTATCTGCTATTGTATTCCAGTGTTTCTATACAGCCGAAGAAATAAATTTAGTTCAGTTTTTTTTCCGTATTCATACAACGAAGTGTTATTGCAAACTGGTGGAAATGCCCTATATCACTCTCACCATAAGTCGAAATTTGTATGAAAATACGTTAAAAATATATTGAACTTCGAATTTATATTTTGATTTTGTGGGACCCCCAAATGAACTGCAAAATGAAATATGATCAGTACGCTGGATTTCTCTTTCAACCAGCTTTTCAATGAGGGTTCGCGAAGTAATAGGGTTGCATTTGAAATAAACATGTTGGGGTTGATTCTAGCTACCCCTGAAGGGATATATTCTCCATATATACATGTAGGTAAATACATTTAAACGTTGACGTGACCCGCGAATTTTCAGAAAAGTCATTCACTCCCCCAATAGCGAGTTCATTTCAATTAAAGTCTCCACCCTGTATAATTTCGCTTCATTTTTGTTATAATAATTTGTATATTTTTGTTGATCAGTTTCACTTTTATCAATTTGACAAATTGACTTACTCTTAGAGTATCTGGACCAATATACTTGTTAGTTATCCAGATTGTACCTAAAGCTACCAGTTGTAACATATTGGTTGGAACGGAAGTTCTGGCTAGTACTTGGTCCAATAAGTTCACAGCTAAGTATAATTCAGCATCTGTAATCTGGATTTGTACCTAGAATATTGAGATGATCCGAAATGAAATTAATAGTCGGAATTCTGCAGATTGAGCGATATTATTATGATAACAAACCAAATTTTGTGGAAATTTTTGAGAAAACTTAGTATCTAAATCTCGCAATCGTGATGATTTCAACAAGTAGCCTTATTTTGGTCAAGTATGAAGATTGTCGTTGAGGAATTCAAGTTATTGGTTCGTCCGCGGTAGTATATCGTCAATCATTTTCAATTAATTTCATCAGCTCATATTCACCTGACCTTTCCTGTTGTTCATACTTTTGCTTAGAGAGATTGACACATATAAACTTATCGAAAAAAAAAATAAAGATATTTTTAAACGCAAACGACATAGATATTAATAGAAAAATGTCATCATAGCAAAAAAGACAATATCCATAACATAACATATTGGGACAATATCGATGCAATATTACGAATATGTCGGCAAAATATTGTGGATATTGGCGAGAAAGAAAATCTGAACATTCGGTGATATTGGTACAATATCAGTTTCAAAATGTGGTGGAGTAGCATGTTGCAATGTCGTCTTGGAAACATTGGTGAAATATTTTCACATATTGGGACAGTATCGATGCGATATCACGAATATGTCGGCAAATTATTGTGGACATGATATTGGCGAGAAAGAAAATCTGAACATTCGGTGATATTGGTACAATATCAGTTTGAAAATGTGGTGGAGTAGCATGTTGCAATGTCGTCTTGAAATCATCGGTGAAATATTTCCACACCAATATCTGTTTTCATCGCATGGAGCGCACGAAAGGAAATCCCTATAATGTTCAAAGAACATCGTGCATTCCTAGGGAGGATAGGGACAGGAGGTAGGTATTGGAATTGTTTCTTAACTTCTGGAGATTGAATATTCATAGAGTTAGTTATATTATTCACAAAATGTGAGATCAATATTGGCAAGGAATGCAAAGTGAACCATTTGACAATATTGGTTCAATATTAGTTGAAAATATTGGTGGATCATTGAGAATAATTATTATGTTGCAATATTCTCGTCTCTTGAAAATATTGGTTAGATATTTTCGTACCAATATTGGAATATTGGAGAGACATAAAGGCTATATTCCGAATTCAACTGGTCAGTACTGTCAGTAAATTCACTGACTGCTGAAAATATGTGTTCCGAAAAATGAAATAAAAAATACAGTACTGTAATTCGGAACACTTTTTCATGGTTTTCATCATTAATCAGCAGCAGTTGATTAATTTATTTAACAACAGACATTTCCTGATTTTTATCAATTTATTATTGATTAGACAAGGCTTAATGTTCAAAAAACAATGCAAATAAATGTGAAGTGCCGATATCGATATGTACATACATACCTATCTTCAAAACAATATATTACCGATATGCAATTGAATTTGGAAATACAATATTGTATTTTTCTTCTATGAAAAGAATATTGAAGGGTCGTTATAGATATTCATCTTTGAAACAATATGCATTCGATATCTTCTGCATGATGTATTTGAAACGATATCAATCACTATAGGTAAATATGATGTTTCAAATATTGTTGAAGCAATATTCAACCAATATGCCGTCGAACTCGAATATACAAATATTACATAACCGCCTCAGAATCGGCCTGGGGAAAATGTTCAAATTGCAATATTTGTTATAATTGTTTGAAACAATATGTATACGATGTTGTACCAACATTTGTGAAACAATATCATATAATATTCATAGATACGATATCCTTTTCAACATATTATGAACGAACTCTCCAACCAATATTGCTTCAATATTGTAGCTGAAAATCCACATTTAGCTGAGGTTGATCAATATTCCAGAAATATCATCATTCCAATATTGAATTTCCAATACACTCTCATATTGGACCAATATCATTTTTACATTTACAATGTATCTATATCAGCCAAATATAAAATCAGGATTCAGCCAATTTGATGTGATTCATCAATTCAGACCCTACCGATTTCGGGAAAAGTTTACCTCAATTGGGGTCGCTGTGGAGGGGTCGTATTCTTCCCACTTACATCATAGAACCTAACCTATTTACCAGAGCTCTTAGGAGTTCATTCATAGGAAAAGTTTTTTGATGTTCGTTACCTGTATTCCCAACATCCAGTTGACAATAGTAGCTCTCGACTTCTGATCAGGGCCAAAATATTGCATGAAACCAACTGGAAGAGTGATTTTTTCTTCGATCATTAATACATTGAACAAAGTGTCCTTGAAAAGAAAAAAAACGTTGATGGTTGTTAGTAGTGAATTTGGAAGATGGACAACTATACTTGTGCATATTCATCTTCTCCAGGGTGTCTTGAGATGCCTGAAAATAAAAAGATATTCATGTGGCAATGAATACGACTTTCTTCATACCTACCCTTGTTCGAGAAGGCCCTCTTTGGCAGTTTTGTATTTCTCTGACTTTGCGGTCTTTCGGAGATCAGAGTTTCTGGATCAGTGAGAAAGTTGATAGGAATTCTAGAGTGTGTATTTTTGATCTCGGAAAATCCATCTAGTCTGGAGGAAGATTCTTTTGTAGAGCTCAAAGAGTACCAGCTCTTTTGCCCTACTGAATCTACATATACCTTGGTACTAGATGCTTCGTGGAATTTATCCAGTCTGGATAGCGATGTTTTCGTAGAGTTCGAGTTCCAGCTCGCGGAATATCCAGAATCAATGCTCAATCTGTGAGTTGGCTTCGGAGTTGACGAAGTTCTTCTAGAAACTATAAACCAGCATCACATTTATTGATTGGAAAACTATTCGATTATCAAGGTGAAAAAGTCAATTTTTCTACAACACAAAACTTTTTTCTGAGTGATAAACTGAATGGTATATCGAAAAATACAGGGGAGTTGAGTAGTTCAGGTGAAAATAATACTTGGAGTATGGGAGTAGAAAATTCACCTTCTGAAATCGATTCTTCGAAGATATTTACCCCTAAAGGTAAACATCTTCTGAAGTGGGTTTTTAGTTGAAAATGGTAATTCTGTTGAGAACTAAATGAATAAATATGGAATTAACTTATGATGTTGATCAAATTGCTTGAGGAGAGCAGAAACGAACTTATCCTATCAGTCGTTCAAAATTATTTATATGTTCATTTCCAACAAAAAAAAAATTGGTCATAACCTCAGATTAACCGAATGTTTGTACAGGGCTAATTTTATTAATGTGAACCCCCACTATCTCTTTTGTTTTCCACCCGTTCAAAAACTTTCAAAGCTGATTTTATACAATTTCTGGCACAGATTTCGCTCATTTTGACAATGATGCAATATCTATTCAATTATACAGGGTACACAGAAATTAATATATTTTTCAAATGAAATGCCTTGTATATTTCGATAAATTTGAATTCCCTAAATCGTCTTGATTCCGAATATATATATAGAAGGATCTTCATCTATGAAAATATACAGCGCATTCCAAAAAAAAAACAATATATTTCTGTTTACCCTGTATATTTGAAGAGATATTGCAACACTCTCTATGACTCTCTCAATATGAATATGATTGAAACCAATATGGAATATCGTGGAAATATCAGTTTTGAATCTTCTTGAATGGATCAAATAGGTATTTCTGATTGATATCGATGAACCTAACCATTTTACAGAAAATCGATTTAACCAAGATTCAACTGATAGAGGAACAAAAAATAAGTGAACCCATCAAAATTGGAGAGATGGTATAGACATTATTTCTTCAAACAATATAATTTTTTGACAAACACAAATATACACAAGGTAGCCATTATAGTGAGTCAGAAATATGCATAGGTATAAATGAATCATTCTCAAACAATAGACAAATAATCTTTGGTAGAAGTCCATATTGCTCAAAGTGGAGTGAAATATTTCACAGGAAGGAAGGAATGCTCGAAGTCATCTCCACAAATTTTAATGATATTATTAACTAATTCATGAGGGACATGTTTCGGTCTTATAAAAGACCATCTTCAGCCTAATTGAAAAGTTTGGAGTTGAAAAAATTATTTTCTGTCAATGCCCATAGTCGAGAGTTCCAGAATGAAAATTGAGTAAACGGGTTCTCAATAATTGAAGGGCCCCGTGCCCTGAGAGCGTATACTAGGTTTTATAAAAGAACATTTCATATAACCAAAAAGGTATATGAAGGGTATTGTCAAACAATTAAAATCCGACAACACCATTAACTAGCGGGTTTTTAAAAAAGGGGTTCCCCGTTCCCTTATGAAGGCATTATTTAAAGCAAATATCAATAAAATTGATGGGGCAAGCAGCCAGCACGTGTTTTAAATCTAATCTAAACTTTGGTTATATGAAATGTTCTTTGATAAAACCTAGTATACGCTCTCAGGGCACGGGGCCCTTCAATTATTGAGAACCCGTTTACTCAATTTTCATTCTGGAACTCTCGACTATGGGCATTGACAGAAAATAATTTTTTCAACTCCAAACTTTTCAATTAGGCTGAAGATGGTCTTTTATAAGACCGAAACATGTCCCTCATGAATTAGTTAATAATATCATTAAAATTTGTGGAGATGACTTCGAGCATTCCTTCCTTCCTGTGGAATAGACAAATATTCAAAAACAATATTTCATACGATGCTCTGAAAAAAACAATTTCTAATTCAATCAGATCTTCCAATTTATACACTTTATATGAAATAGATGCTTTCCGTGAACTTATTTTGTGTAAAACATGAAATTTTTCTTATATATACTTGTGTCAACATCAAATTACTCATCCTTTTGAGTAGAACGAGACCAATTTTTTTCTACAAGAACCAAGGTCAATTGCGTATATTTTCAGAGTTCAAAATCCGAGAAACCATTTGAGCGATATTTTTAAGGAAAACTATTAATCACCATTGTTTTCAGCAACCCCTCAAGCGTAGTTATTGTACTGCCTGAACTTAGCTGATTTTTGTTTCACAATACAAAGAAAAAACTCCAGTGGTGTCAGGTGTCAGGTCCGGGGATCTTGGCGGCCATTAAAAAGTTTAAAAGTGTTTAAAAGTGTTTTTAACCGCCAGCTTAGTTGCAAAGCAACCCTCGAAAGTCAGAGACTTGTGTGAGTTAAGAAGACGGGGACCTTAGCTTTTTAAGTGTCATCCGAAGCACTACTCGGCTGGTAACCGTGGACAGTCCAAAGGATTGATATCTAGGTACCAAGAATGTTGGGTTGGCCACCTATCTCCTCCCGCCCAACGAACTACCGAAAATTAATTCAGTGCTCGCGCCGGGGATCGAACCCGGACCGCCTGGGCAACAGCCAGCGACTCTACGCTCACGGCCACCAGCCATTGAATGTGATTTCTATAATTATTATTCAACCACTCTCTTACCTCAATGTGAATTTTGATTTGGACACGAAAATACTAATATCGAATATTTTTTTATGAAACTCTGTATAAAACCATTGGAAGAGGTGCTGAATCCAATGGTGGTTTCGAAATTTTCGTGACATATTCGCTAATACGGTTTCGTGAATTTTAACCTATATAAGTAGGCCTTGGTTTTTGTACAAAGCAGGATATGTTTCGTCCTGAAGTACGGTTTCTCAAGCTCCATAATTGAAAAAAAAGTTTGTTAAAATCGGTGAATTAATACAAATTTTATTAAGGTGTCCCGCTTTCAAATACATACACTGTAGGTTCGCCATATTGAAATTTAAGTAGGAACATTTCATTTTCCGTATTGTTCTGTTGAAAAATGTGAGCAAATCTAAACTTTTGAATATTTTGTTCTTGTCCTTCATCAACGAGTAGTTGAAGAGTTTCCTTATTTAGTGCAATACAGAGATGGGACCAATACAAAAAAAATCCTATGTACAAAAATATGAGCGGGACGGAACTTTTCTTCATCAGCAGGTACACTCGTCTTCAGTGAACATGTCGCGGTTGGACGGTATGAGCGCTTTTATTGCAACGGTGATTAACAGAGCTAACACCTTCCATGTGCCACATGTTCTCTGAAGACGACTGTACCTTCCTCATTCAGTGAGAAAATAGAGAAATGGAATCTATGAAAAAACATTCACAAAATGTCCAATCCCCAGGTACTGTATTTTTTTGTAAGAATGTGTTCATATTCATCTCACCGTTTCTTGAGGAATCTTCTAACAAACCCGAGGAAGCAAATCCTCTATGAGTCTCTGTTGATGTTGAGCAAGTTCTTCCTTCATAACTCCCATCACTTTTCTTCAGTGGATTCCTGCTGTTGCAGTTATTTTGAGTGGTAGATTCCACGAAATCATATCGAAATTTGGTACCATGCGTTACATCACCTGCAGATCTTGGCTTTGTTCGATTATATTCGGCAGGCACACTCAAGCGTTTCTTCTCTTCGTGTAAGATGTTCATCATTTCCCGTTTTGCGAGAGAATTGAAATCTGACTGATAACATGTTAAGGTCCCTAGTTTTGAGCCAGTTATCGAGGAACTGGTTGAATATTGCTGTGAGCTAGATGGAGGTTTCCGAGTATTGGCTGAAAATATACTCTTTTCAAGAAACATAGATGATGGACACAATAAATATTGCATCTTTGACGACTGCAAGTAGAAGCTAACGACACAAAATATTTTCTATTGGAGCCTGTAATGATATAGAGTTAGATTACTCTGATTTCCCCTATGTTTATACCACATTTCCAAATGGATTCATTTCAGTAATATGCGGTATTTGTATTGTTATTTTGAAACGCTAAGAGGAAGGAAGATGATTGTACAAGAATAATATTACAAATTAACTTACACCTTTGAAAATCGCTGATTATGTTTAAATTCACTGTCTCAGCACAAATTTGGAGAAATATTATGAGATTTTGCATTAAAAACGACGTAACATATAACACGAAAAAGCAAGAAGAACTTGTTTTGCTATAGTATCATCTCTTGATATTTTCAAATCTTGTAGGCCAAGAAAACGGAATTGTATTTTATATTTTCAGTTCATCGGCGAGTCGGCGGTGATCTTGATCATTATACAGGGTGTCCAGAAATTAGTCTGCAATGACTCCTAACGGAGCTACGGCCCCCTGATGAAAGAAGCCTCTGAAGATGATTTTTCTTGAGTATTTCCGAAACTCCATGTGATAAAAAGATACGATTTGGTACAAGAACTGAACTTTCCATGCCCAATGCAGTGAGAATGATATTATTCCAAAACTTCACGCAGGAGTGTATATACAGGGTGGGACTACATTAAATATTGCTCTAAATTTTTTGTATGCATATTTTTTGACAATTCAATATCGGATTATGAAAATCCACACCTCTTCACAGAAAAAAAGGTACTCTTGTTTCGTAACGATAAGATATATCATTATCGAGTAAAAAAGATTTAAAAATATTGTCTCATCAAAGATATTATGCATAACATTGCATAACAATGCGTAGTGTGAATGGGAAAAAATACAAAGAAACTGAAGTAGTTTTTGATCATAATTTTCCTAATTTTCGCGCTTTTATGAGATTGTTTGGTGAAAAGAAAGTAGTTTTTAGTAGTTTAGGTTTTTTTTATAGCCACTATGATTTGAAAATTGGCAACTTCATGGCATAAGATGTGAACGTATCAATATATTTTTTAATCGATTTCACTCGAAAATTATACATCTGATCGATGCGGAATAGGGGCAGCACCTTCTTTTTGTAAAACGGTGTGAACTGTTATAATCTGCGAATAAATTGTCGAAGAATATGCACACAAAAAATGTTGAGCAATATTGAATGTAGTCCCATGCACCCTGTATTATACACTCCTGAATGAAAGTTTGGATTGATTTCATGCTCACCGTATTGGGCATGGAAATTTTAGTTCTTGTATCAAATTGCATCATTTTATCACTTGGCGTTTTGAAAGTATTCAACAAATATCATCTTCAGGAGCCTTTTTCCAGGAGGCCGAAGCTTCCTTAGCAGACATTTCTCGACTCATTCATTGGAATTTTTCCTTCTATTTTTGATCGTAGAAGCCGCCCGTGAAGTTTGGCATGCTAATTTTGGGCCATTCTGTATATTTTGTGTTTCCCGTTACGTTCTATGTAGTCAATTTTTTCTAATGCAAAATATGATAAAGAAGCAGCTGAAACTGCAGCAAAAGGTTATTTTCAATAAATTTTTCCCAAGAATTCAAGAGCCGATTACGAGTAAAATAATTATTGTGGAATGGTGTATATTGATTATTTCCATGGAATGAAACTAAGACAAAAATATTTCGATGACGGAGAAATCTGTCGCCTGAAAATAATTCGAAAAACTGAATCAGTGTGATTTGTTACAATCGGAATTTTGATACGAAGAAAATGCTTCATGGTATGACGATCTTTTGAATCCAAGTATGAAAACGAAATACTGCATCTTCTATAGTTGAAATAATGAGAAGAATGTTTCAACCATGTCAAATTAATTGCTCAATATTCAAGATAAAGTGGGGTAGATGAATAAATACTTCTCAAATCCTATACTCTAATAAGAATAATATGTATTTTCGAGGTAAATTCGACATTGCCTCTTCCACTCTCATCTCTCATTTCGTGATCGATGAAAATTTTGACGCAAAATTAATTGAAGTTTTTGTTGGACCACCCTGTAAAATTGCACTTATCATGTGGTGTTTTTTTTTTGAAAATTTGTTTTGTACTGAAGTATTTTAACTGAAAAATTTTATAACGAAAATGTAAACAAACCACCATTTATCGAGATATTTTAAGTAAAAATTTTGAAATTTCGTCTTCTTTTTCTTCTTGTGTTGAATGCATTTACAGCTACTTACTCTTCTTATTTTGTCATCGGACGCACTTCATATACTCATGATGTACTTCAATGACAATTTTTTTTATTGAAATGTGATTTTTATGGCGAGTTTTTCATATTTAGTGAACAATCATACCAAATAACGGCCATTTAATCAAAATAGTCAATCCAAATACGAGATGTCAAACATTTTTTTGTCACTTACGTATTTTTGTCTGAAAAACACGAATTTCACAATGAAAATGTGGACAAATCGCTATTTATCGAGATATGTTGAAACTGCATTTATCATGCGATGGTTTTTTTTTCGAAAATTTTTTTTTGTTACTAAGTATTTTTGTTCGAGAAACACGAATGGGCCTTTTCATTTAGATGACAAATGACTATCTCTGTTTACATCTCACATCCAACGACAGTGGCGGCCATTTTGACCGAAACACTTTAGCATCACAGTACCACACTCTTCAGTAACGAATAACGTAATGTTTTTTGGAATTAAATTGTTATAATACAATTAATACACACCAGGAATATAAAAACAAGAATACTATGTTGTTATTGTTGTTTCTCAATGACCAATGCCCCATGGTGATTGACGCACCGTTGACATTTGACAGAACGTCAATAATACCCGTCATATTCGAAATGGCCAATCAGCATTTTGTGTTGGAACTATAGCGAATGAGACTTTACCTTTGCATCACCCCATAAACTAATGGATGTAAAAACGAGCGCATGCGTCTTAAAAATATATCTAGATGAAATGAAAATGTGAACAAACCATTATTTATTAAGATATTTCACTATAAAGTTACAAATTTCACCTTCTTTTTCGCCTGTCTTCTGGTTAAACAATTTGCCCTTCTTTTTTCATCATTGGACAATTTATATATATCACAATGTACGACACATTTTTTTCTATTATATGAGTCAATTAGAAACATAATTTTGTTGTGATCTATCCATATTCAGTGAGAAGAAGGAAGAATATCATTCAAAATAATGGCCTGTGTAATGTCATTCAAAAGCAATCTGTTGACATTTGACATCTCGTATTTGGATTGACTATTGATTAATTGGCCGTCATCTAAAATTTTTTTGTTCTAAAATTTGTTCTATCCGTCATTCGGTTGCCCCCTTACGAGCAACCCTCAAAAGTCTTCGAAAGTCTTGTGCGAGCAAGGAATGACGGGGGCCTTACGTTTTAACGTGTGATCCCAAACACTTTCTTGGGCCATCAGAAAAATTTCTGCAGTCGACGAGGATCGAACCCACGACCGGCAAGCGAATGCGAATTAGAATATAGACACTTTGTCCGCACGGCTACCTGGTATGCTTGTTCACTAAATATGAAAAACTCGACATAAAAATAATTTTTCCTGTTGAATTTTCTGTATATAAATATATCATTGAAGTACATCATGAGTATATGAAGTGTCCAATGACAAAATGCACAAGGGGTTCTTCAGACAAAAATAAGTGAGTGCCAAAAAAAAAAGTTTGGAAAAAAAACCCATCGCATGATAAATGTAGTTTTACGTCGGGATTTTTTATGAAAAATTGCGAAATTCCACCTTATCTAGCAACACATCCAGGATATTCATTCACAACTGCTTGTCCTTCTTTTTCCGGCACTGGATACTATAATAAGACATTTTATTTTCTAAAATCAACAAGAAGTATGGTTCATCTGGATTTTTTCATTTTCAGTGAGGTGGACAATAGCTTAGTTTCTGGAGTTTTTTGCAATTTTTTTTGACATTTTACATCTCGTAAATGAATTTTGAGTTCTGTTATTTGAATTCAGATTTGATAATTGAATGGCCGTCAGCTGATGTGGTTGAATTCCAAATACGCACCATAGTTCTTGTTGATTCCAGGAAGTAGAATGTGTTATTGAAGTACAACGTGAGTACTGAAAAAAAAAGATGGTAGTTATTACCAAACGTTTAGTAAAATAGGCGCCAGTCACAACTTTCATCAAATGATACCACTACAACATTATATAATACTAAACTATGAGTATTACACTATTTTGTAGTGGTGATATTTGATATAGTTTAGTATTATATAATGTTGTAGTGGTATCATTTGATGAAAGTTGTGACTGGCGCCTATTTCACTAAACGTTTGGTAATAACTACCATCTTTTTTTTTTCAATATATGAAGTGTCCAATAATGAAAAAAGAAGGACGAATAGTTAGAAATGGATATGCAAGATGGGTGGCGAAACATTTCGCATTTTTTCATAAAATATCTCAATAGATAGCGGTTTGTTCACATTCTTGTGAAATTCGTGGGTTTCAGACGAAAAAACGTTGGCACCAAAAAAAAAATTTCCAAAAAAAACCTATCGCATAAGTGCAGATGTAGCAGGGCCTTACCAACTGACTGTACTCAAATTTTCAGATCATTATCCCATTATTGGAGCTCAGAATGCTCGAATTTCAGGAATATGCAGGAAAACAATTGGATATAGCTGCTAAGAAAAAAACGAATGTTGGTCGTGTTAATCAATTTTTGACTCATCCTGTACACAAGACCTCTAATTCATAAAATGCTGATAACAAGAGATATTGACGTGTTCGAGCAAATTTTCTAATTATTAATTGATTTTATTCCATAGAAGCTCAAGGCACCTGTAAACCTACCGGTGATATACAGGGTGTGAATTTGAAAACTTCGTTTCGCAAAAATGCTAAAGAGTTATGGGAAACTAGAACCACTATATTTCGGTCAAGGGATGAGTCACCCCGTCGGCGCGACACACCCCAACTTTGAAATGTCAAATGACACTACCTCTTTTGTGATGCCTCAAATGAACAGTCTCATCAGTTAGTAGTATTCACCTGTACAAGACTCTTTTTCCACCCACTACAGGGTGTACGAAAAATATAAAGTCGAATAAAATAAAATGAATTGTGTTAAAAGGATATTTTATTTGATCAGATGATCAAAATGCATTCCATTCTGTTGTAAGTAATAGTATAATCGATGTTCAGATGCCATTCTAACATTTTGGAACACATTCTCTTGGAATATATCGGCATTCTGCATTTTATTTTATTCGACTTTATGTTTTCCGTTCACCCTGTAGTGGGTGGAAAATAAGTCTTGTACAGGTGAATACTACTGACTGAGATCGTTCATTTGAGGTATCACAAATGAGGTAGTGCCATTTGACATTTCAAAGATGGAGTGTGTCGCGCCGACGGGGTGACTCATCCCTTTACTGAAGTATGGTGGTTCTAGTTCCCCCTAACTCTGTAGCATTTGTGCCCAACGGCGTTTTCCTAACTTTTTTATTTAGCGAGATATTCGCATTGAAAGTTTTCAAATTTAGACCCTCGACTTAATGTTTTTCGTACACCCTGTAGTGGGTGGAAAAAAGTCTTATACAGGTGGATACTACTGACTGAGACCGTTCATTTGAGGTATCACAAAAGAGGTAGTGCCATTTGTCATTTCGTTGGGGTGTGTTGCGCTGACAGGGTGACTCATCCCTTCACTGAAATATGGTGGTTCTAGTTCTTCCTAACACTTCAACATTTGTGCCAAGCGGCGTTTTTCTAACTTTTTTATTTCGCGAGATATTCGCATTGAAAGTTTTCAAATCTACACCCTGTACATATTATCAAGGATATGATGCATTAATAATTTCGAGGAAAATAAAGGCTGATGTGCTGAATTTCGTATAAATGTAAACATAGCGTATAACTTACTTGATAATTCTTGGAGGGCATTCCCTTTTCCTGTAGGTTTTCTCACACACTGTGGAACACATTTTCTTGTTGCAGGACACGGACACTTTATTGCAGAAACAGGGATATTTTCTTTATCCTGATGAATCGTAAATTTCCGCATTATGTTCAATTATCCAAAACACCAACTAATCCCGAATCGAAAAACCTATTTATGTCCAGAAATCGAAGTACACATGTGATCTTGGCAGTTTTAGAATGGTTTTTGTCAACTTCCAAGGAGAAGCTATCGATATTCTGAATGTTGAAAAGTAAGTATGTGATCAGCAAAAAACAGTGAATCAGTTTTTGTCATCGGATAAACACATACTATACAGTGTGTCCCACTTACCATGCTCACCATGGGTATATCTTTTTAACGGTGAGAGATACGAGGTCGGTTAAATGACACCAAATGTGGCGTTTGTCAAGGTCTACTATAATGTGAAAAAATATTTTGATAAAATCTATCCGTTTTTGTTTCATACGCAAAAAACAGACTTTGATAATTTTCATGTTTCCTCCGTAACTTCTTTATTCATGAAAATATCCGAATAGGAATTTCACATTCTCATGACAGTTTTTCAAAGTGATTTCGAAAAAAATATGAAATTTATACTAACTCTTCTAGAATTTGAGATATCAGCACCAACTTCAGTTTTTCAAATGTAGGTCATAGCTCATTTATACAAAAAAAAATTATTTGGAAGCCGCCATCTAGAATTTATATATTTTAACAAAAAAATCATGATCTCCGACCTCGAAAACCCCCACTTACCAATTTTGAATGGAATCGGACCAAATCTTGTCCGCCATCTTGGAGCAGCCATTTTTTTTATTTCAAAAAAAATTCCATAACTCCGATTAACTTGAAATTTGGCAGGTGTTCATAATTTCGGTGACAATACATTATATAAAGAAAAACAAAAGTAGTGGTTTCAGAATTTGCGAATTGTGGAGTCCTATTGGCTTCGGGCAGTTACCAAGGAACAAGCTTTTGACTGTCATAAAATTATTTCGTCTATATCATCAATGTCCTGGGGATAATACTACTACTAATTTGATTGCCCAAGTAGAAATCCAATGAAATGAGTTTTGTGATCGATCATATGATTGAACACAACCAATAAAACCAGCATTATACTGAATATTATCCTCATAAGAGCAACGCAATTATCGAAAAATTACAGCGGTTATTGCACTGCAGATCGAAGATTGCACTGCGAAATCATCCTGTCGCCATAACAACACATGGAATCGTATCGCTAGACGCCAGTAAACAATACAAATGAATGTCAGATAGACGGAGAAAAAAATCACTAACCCTAAGGGAATATTCAATAGTGGCAAGTAAAAACTTGTATACTATTTGGTACAAAGAAATAAGCTGATGAGCACAAAATATTTGTGTTCTTGAAAATGTACACTTACCACTATCAACCTGTTCTATTGAATTTCAGATTGTTCACCGTAAGTGAACACAACACTTGGCATTAGTGGCTTATTCACTCGTTATTAAAGACTTATTCTCTTGTCATTAGTGACTTGATTACTGGTCATGACATGAAGAGACTTATTTACTTGTCATCAGTGACTAATTTACTTGCCATTAGTGACCTCCGGTTTTTTTCTGAAACGAAACACATATTTTTACATATTCAAATTCAACAGGTCAAAACAAGTGCAATCCTAAGACAAGATGTAGAAATGTTGTTTCCCACAGCTTACTTGGAATATAGGGATTAGTAAAAGGAGGACGTCCTAAGTACTTCCCGATGCTCGCCCTCGACGACTTGAGGACATTATTGTTAACGCCACAGAAAGGCCTCAAAAGATATTTGTGCTATCTAGGTGTTTGAAGGAATTCTAAAATGAAAACCCCCTGTGATTATTCTGATCAATCTGGATTGGTATACCAAGTGTCAATTTTTTTGCTACATGGGTTCTGGAGAAATTTAGTGAAATCTTAACTCTTTTCGTAATTTTGACACCCTGTATCTCAGTGAGAATGCATTTCAGTACATATGTTGATAGGAACTCCATAGCCCAAAATGCACTGAAAAAAATAGTCGGTAGAAATCACCAAACGTTTAGTAAGACACATCGTTCATCTAATGATACCCACTACAACATTATAAATAATACTATACTGTACTTATCAAATATTACCACTGTAAGACAGTACTACTACTGATATAGTTTAGTATAATACAATTTTGTAGTGTATTATTTGATGAATGTAACTGGCACCTATTTTACTAAACGTTTGGTATTCACTACCGACTATTTCTCTGAGTGTGAGGTGAGCAATCCGTGTACCAAGTTTGTCGGTCTCATTCTGACTCATCCTGTATATAGTTTCAGTTGCATGAAATTTCTTGCAATTAGAATAATTTTCCAAGTAAGCTGTGGAAAAGCACATTTCTGAATATTGTTATAAGATTGCCCTTGTTTCGACCTGTTGAATTTGAATATGTAAAAATATGTATTCCGCTTGTGAAAACGAGGTTGCCATATTGGATGTAATGCCATCAAATACGAAATGGCTGCTCACATAACTGTACCAAATTTCAGAAAAATCAGTCTAGGAATGCAGAAAGAGGGGTGACCCAAAAACAAAACCCTGCGTCACCCGGTATAGACCGCGTTAACTCATGAAGAAATACTCTGTACATAGATAGATAGATAGATAGATAGAGTTTATTAATCCTTTGTGCTACAACATGTATAGATAGGATAAGTCACACATGATGGTAAAGGGTACAAAACTACAATTTAAAAAAATAAATAAATAAATATAAAATACATAATACTAGATTAAAAGTATATGTGATACATATTCTTATATGGAACACATTTGTTAATGTTCCATCTTCAAGTAAAAGAGAAAAAAAATAAATTAACATGTAAAACTTCATATTATTTATAAAATTATAGTCAAATAGTACCGACAGCTAGTTTAAATTCATCTACAGTATAAAAACCATTGTCGGCTAAAAATATTTTCAATTTCCTCTTGAAATTTTGAGGTTTCAGTACTTTCATTTCAGTTGGTAGCATGTTGTAGAGACGAACACCGGCGAACATAGGGGATCTTTCATATTTTGAGTGATGGTGTTTATGAGTAGTGATCATATTTCTACTTCTTGTATTATGGGTGTGAATTTCCGTTCTCGTTTTTAATTCGCCTTTCTTTCCATGTATAACTGTTAATAGTTGCATAATGTATATACTTGTTACAGTTAGTATTTTATTTCGTCGGAAAATATCTTTACATGAAGATCGATAATCTAGATTAAAAATTAACCTCAACAAAGCTTTCTGCTTTATGAAAATTCGATCTATCCTTGTAGATAGTCCCCAAATGATAATGTTGTACTTGATAATGGAGTGAAATTTGGCATAATACACTGATATCAATGATTTTGTATCCAACTTACTTTTCAGCGATTTAATCAAGTAATATGATTGATTCAATTTTTTACAGGTAAACTCTATGTGATCATGCCATGTAAACAGTGGATCGATCATTGTTCCCAAGAATTTAGTTGAATCAGATAGCTTTAGGGATTCATTATGAAAACTGAATTCAAAATCATGTAAAGTTCGAGATGAATATGAGAATTCCATACAGACTGTTTTTTTCAAGTTTGCAATCAGCCTATTCTTATAACACCAATTACTAAATTCATCTAATGTTTCATTAACCAGATGATACATATCTTCAGAAGTTTTGCTCGATAATATGATAGAAGTGTCGTCCGCATATAAGAATATTTTTCCGTTGCTCATTTCATTAGGGAGGTCATTAACATATAGTAAGAATAACAGAGGCCCAAGTACGCTACCTTGTGGGGTCCCTGTTGTTGTAAAATATGTCTCCGACATTGTGTTATTTTGCTTTACACGAAAACATCTATTGGACAGGAATGACCCAAGTAGCTGATTAATATTACCTCGAATACCTAACTTATATAGCTTTTCTGATATGAAATTTATATTTATAGTGTCGAAAGCCTTGCTCAAATCAAAGAAAATTCCAATTACTATATTTCCTTCATCGACCAAGTTGTGTATATGTTGTGTGAATTCAAGCGTTGCAGTTTCTGTCGAATGCTCTCGTCTGAATCCGTGCTGGCATTCTGTTAACAATTTGAATTTTTCCAAGTAACTGTTGATGCGAGAAGAGGTTAATTTTTCAAGAATCTTTGAGAAAATACTTATAATTGATATGGGACGATAGTTCTCAATATTTTTAATGTCGCCATTCTTCAGAATAGGGATTATGACAGCAATTTTAAATATATCAGGATATTCCCCAAACGTTATACATAAGTTCATTATATGCGCTATTGGGCCAGTCAGTATATCAACACATTCTTTAATTAATTTTGTGGATACTTCATCATATCCTGAACTTTTTTTATTGGGTAATGAGATTATAACTTTTTCCACTTCATCTAGTGTAACCGGTTCAAAAAATAAAGTTGAATTTACATTTGGTACTGATGTACACGAAACCATGTCATTTTCAACAAAATGCGTTTTCATCTTCTTCTCAACTATGGTTGAAAAGTATTCTCCAAATGTTTCGGCAACTTCTGTTTCATCAGTGATAGTTTTCTGTTCTAAATTCAAAGTTATTTGTTTGCCTACGTCAGATCTCCTGGGTTGCTTAACTATATTCCACAGTGTTTTATTTTTGTTACTAGATTCATGAATTTTCTTCATAAAATAGTCAACTTTTTCTTTTCGTATTTCATTTTCAACAGTTTTCTTGGCTTGTTTATAAGCAGCATTACCGTTTTCAACGATATTCAACTTTTTCAGATGATTAAGATGTTTCAGGTCATTAATTTTTTCTCTAAGCGAGGCAGATAAAACGATTTTATTTTGATTTCGATTTCCGAGACCATTCTGTTTAAAAGATTTTGGAAATGCTGCCTCAAAACACCAATGAAAATGTTCCCAAAAGGTTCCGACATCTTCATTAATATTTTTGAAGGTGATTTTACTAAAATTATTTACAAAGTCGATGTCACTGATGAAAAATCGCTTGAATTCAGCTATCGAGAGATCATTTATCTTCCTGATTTTATTTGATACTTGAGTTTCTTTGATTCGTGTGATATTACTTCGATTTTCCCAGATAACTGTTTGCATATGATGATCAGATAACCCCGGA